AAAAAAAAAAAAAAAAAAAAAGCCTGAAACGTATTGATTTTGCTTAACAATTAATTGGAAAATAATACTATTATTTTTATAAGGCCTGAGATAATTTTTAAGGCTGCCTGAAACCTCCCCTCATGAGGAAAACATTAATTTCTCCATGTTGTCTCTTTTCAGTGATTTGGGTTTTTTTCCTATTTCTTTCTTTTCCTATCTCCTCTTGCTATTTCTCATCTTCTTTCTGTGCATCTTCATCACTGTAGTTAACCATCTATTTTTTAAAAGATTTGTCATTACCTATAAGCACTGACTGCTATCAGACATCTATCTGTCTGATGTTTATCATATGCTGAAACACAATTTTATGCTTCTAATAATTTCTTTATTAGATGGAAAAGTTAATGGTCTTAAGTTACAAGACTATTAACAGGCTACAAGTCTGCCCTGTTACAATGAACTTCACAATATGGATTTGCTTCACGAATAGAAATATACAGAAGTGTTTTCTTTATTCCTAAGAAGTCATCACTTAAGGGGAAAAAAAGTTACCTCTATTACCTTTCCAGAGTTAATTATCTAAAAATATTTTGCCTTAAAATATTTATTTTTGGTACTGAATCTAAAATAATAGTACCCTACCTCGCATCATTTGCATTTATTAATTTTAAGTTGACTAAAGTGAAAAAATATGCATACAAAACCCAACTATACAAGTTTCAGGGGAAAATCCACATAATCTTGAAGTGGGGAAGGCATTCCTAAGTGAAACTCAATATCCAGCAAGCATCAAGGAAAATAATGAAAGATTTAACCATATCAAAATTTGAAACGTTGTAGAAGTAAAAGCCTGAAAGAAAACACCTGCAAATGTATTACAGACAAGGGGTCCATAACGTTTAAAGAACAACTCCAAATAAGTAAAAAAGGCAATCTAGCAAAAAGTGAAAAAGGATTAGAATGAGCAGTTCACATAAGAAATAGAATGGCAATAACAGAAACATCATGAGTTTGGGTGGGAGTCAAAGATTTCTGGGATGGAATTTCAGTTCTGACATTTTCTGGTGTGGAATCTTGGGCAAGTTACTAAGCCTCTGATTCTGTTATGGGTGGAAAACTTGCACTCCCAACTCCCAAGGCTGCTGTGAGGTATGAGATTCCACCATCAATACTCCTGGTATGCAGAAAGGGTTCAATAATTGCTAACTTCCTCTCACCCTTCTTATATCATTTTAGTAGCAGTGCAGCTTGTTAATAGTCTCC